ATATATTTTTAATTTCTTTACTATATTTAACATCATTATATTATTTATTAATATTTATTAATTTGTATTTATTTTATAAAATAGCCCAATATAACAATGGCTTCAATGGCAACACTTGGATCTAACTTACCATCAGGTATAGCTGGTCAATTATATCCACAAGTTGCTACTGTTTCTTATCCACCACCAAGAGCATTAAATACAAATGCATTTCAACCTTCTGTTGCTGGTGTACCACAACAAGTACAACAAAATGTACCTTCATCTTCTACAAAACAAAGAGTTTTTACTGGCACAGTTACACAAGTATATGACAATTTTGGTTTTGTAGATGAAGATGTATTCTTTCAAACAAAGTAATATTATTTAAAAATAATATTTTTATTATTTTTTTAATTTGAAATTTACAATATGTAATATTAAAACATTCTTTTAGTGCATGTGTTAAAGGATCTAATCCTGTTGTGGGTGACCGAGTATTAGTAGAAGCATCATATAATCCATCCATGCCATTTAAATGGAGTGCTACTAGAATACAAGTACTTCCTATGGGAAATAATAATAATAATACTAATACACAGCAAAATAATCAAAATACTCGCCAACAACAACAACAATCCCAACCACAACAAAATCGAACATCAGGAACATATAATGCTGTGCCCCCTCCTGCTGAAAATGCTAATAATAGGTAATTAATGTTAGATATTACTTTATTAATAACAGTTAATAAATTATTATGTTATGCAAAAATTTTTTTTAATATGATATATATAATGTAATAGTTTTATTCAAGAAATATATAATTTTTGATAGATTCACAACTAGTGCAACAAGTGCTAATACAGCTAGTAATCGAAATAAAGTTGGTAGAGTAAGAGAAAGATCTCCACGAGAACGAAAAAATGAAGAAGAAGAAATTGAAAGAAAAAGACGCCGTGAAGAAAGAATTAGGGAACGCGAGAAAAAAGAGGAACGTAGTCCATCAAGAACTAGAAGAAGTAAATCACCAAGACCAAGACGACGTACTAGAGTTGTACCGCGTTACATGGTACAGATACCAAAAATAGCACTTGATTTGTAAGTGTATTTTTTATATAATTTATTTAAAAATTATTTTCATATCTTTTTTAATATATTTAAAACCGTAGGATTTTAACTACTTATTATTTTAGACCTGAAGCAGATGTACTTGAAATAAGAAGACGCTATCAAAATATGTATATTCCTAGCGATTTTTTTTCTACTAATTTTCGATGGGTTGATGCCTTTCCTCCACATATGCCATTTGCTCTTAATAAGCCATGCTCTTTTCATGTCATGCACAAAGATGTTGATCCTTGTTCTGAAAATATAGCAGTACTAGAACCTTCAGATGCTGATTATCTTTTTTCTGCAAAGGTTTGTTAATTTAACATGGATATTATTGAGGCATTTAATTTTTATATTATTGCAGATTCAATGGTAGTTAATATTAATTAATAAATAGTTTATTATATTTATATTAAATTTATATTTAATTTTAAATCATAAATATTATTTTTATCAGGTTATGCTGATATCTATGCCTGCCATGGAAGAAATTTATAAACGATGTTGTGGTGTATCTGAAGATAGAGATCCAGATCGCGATTATGTACATCCTACACGTTTAATAAATTTCTTAGTAGGCTTACGGGGTAAAAATGAAACAATGGCTATTGGTGGACCATGGAGTCCTTCTTTGGATGGTCCTAATCCTGAAAAAGATCCATCAGTATTGATTAGAACGGCAGTGAGGACTTGTAAGGCGCTCACGGGAATAGATCTATCCAGTTGTACTCAGTGGTACGATTTTATATATATTGATATTTTTTTCTATTTTGATTGTTATCTTAATTATAATTTAAAGCACTTCATCGAAAGAGCAACGTGATGCTATCTAGTTTTTCTGCCCATTATTGTTTCATTATTCGCCGATACATTATCAAGTTACTTCAGTAAAAATTAATATAAAAATTAAAAATTCTCATCGGTTGAAAAGTTTGGACGTCAACTTCGTCAACTTCGTCCAGCATTTCATATTGTATAAATGTATAATATACTCTTTGATAATATATAATTAAATTATGTTAAAAATATGAAATAGAATGTTATAGTATTAAGAAAGATCCAGCAGGTATACCATCTGTGAGAGAAAGTAACTTCTAATGTGAGTTCTGAATTGATAACTAAGGTTGTAGCTCAATCTCTACAGAGGAGGTATGTATTTGTTCTATACACGACCGACCGATGGAGATTGCTGCATTGGATCCTGTATCGAGCACCCAGATGATATTCAAGCAGTCATGGCAGACAGATCATCACTATTGTTCTATGATCGTTGTAATCCACTCAGTTGTGCTTTATCAAATGGTCTACATTGTGCGCTGTGTGTGGCTTTGTATGCAGTGCGTGGGCTTTACGAACAAGCGAACGAACACTTAGCATATAAGGCAAAGCTAAGCGGCATTAACCTGAGTTGACGTTTGGGTATTGTTTTTCCTTGCGGCACAGGTACCGCTTCCTGGAACTCTACTACAGACGTGCAGAAACGACCCACAAGTCGGGGCGAGTGGTGCCCTCTCGCGTTGAAACCGTCATACTATTTCTCCCAGATGTTTGGAGCTGTGTACCCATCAAATTGGAATGGGATGGTCTGCAACTCAGCTATAAGAAACAACTGGAGCGAAAATTGCTGCGTGCTGCCTCTAGTCCCGACGATTTGGATGCTGCCAATGACACTGATGAGGCTGCCGTCGCTGATCAAAAGGCACTGCCAACATCATCCCATATTACTTTTACCTTTTTATTACATTATATAATCGTGCAACTGTTTTCCCATTACTAAACTGAATTTTCAATATAGGCTGTACTTGCTCATTGATCCTATAGTTGTTCATTTTTTGAATATTTAAATATTTATTGCTAATTTAGATTGCTAATTAAACTATTTTCTTTATTGAATGCTATTATATTATTCAAGTAGTTAATCAATATTTGAATATTCGTTATTTCAATACATAATTACTAATAGGAAATAGTAATAATATGTGGCTCAATAACATATGAATAATGTTGTAATATTAGTCAAATGATATAATAGTAAACAATTTAATTATTTTTATATGGTACATAACATATATAATATTTTAAAATTGTATAGAACTATTTGTTATTTGTGTAAAATAATCATATTTAAGAGGATTATAAATTCTAAAATATTTTGGTTATCGAAAAATTTTTGAATCAAGATAATATATCAAAGAAGATCAATGAGTAATGTATTGCAAATATTCCTTTAGCCACTGGCAGTCACATTGCATTAACAAGAGAAGCAAGCAAGCCTAGCTCGGAGAAGAGCACAGCTGAGCCATTCCCTTTCCTGAAACCTTCACCATCATTGATAAATCATTCAAAAATTTCATTTGATAATCATTATATACAACATTATTGATATTATCCATAACCTATCAATCACACAGACACCAGAGCCAGGACACTATGAGAATCTAGCAGTTACTTGAGTCATACTTGAAGGTCATCGTGAATGAAGAACAGTGTATATCATTACAATGTGAGAGAATGATAAAATAGAGAGTGATGAAAGAATGAAGAGGGAGTGGTTTCGTTTCGTTATATAGGGGCTGCTTCTGTTTTGTAGTTTTTTATTCTAATCTTTATTTTCATAACATAATGCTTAATTTTTCTTTTCAGGATGATCCAGTGCCAGAGAAAAAGGATCCTACTCATTATTCTGAATTGGATCCAAAGTCTATGAATGTTAGTCTCAATATAATTTTTTATAGATTTATGTTTTTGGTTGTTTTGTATATATATCATCTATATATAATTAATCTTATTTTAATCTTATTTTACTAGGTGACTGAACTACGACAAGAATTAGCAGCTCGTAATTTAAATTGCAAAGGTTTAAAATCACAATTACTTGCAAGACTTATGAAAGCAATAACATCAGAACAAGCTAAAGAAGAAGGAAGACAAGATGATATAGAAGAAAATGATAAGGATATTTCACCTCCACCAAAAGAAGAAGAAGATAAAAAATTTAAAGATATTAAAGATGTAAGATTTCTTGCATATTTTTTTTGTGCGTGCGTGTATATGTGAGTGTAATTTTTTTATTTTGGAAAACATAAATTATTAAAATAAAATATATGATGAATATCAAATTTAAAAATTTAAAAATTTATATTGATATGTGTACAGCATGATGAAGATAGAAGAAAACTTTGTGAACGTGAACGCGCCGCTCTTGAAAAGCGATATACTTTACCTGAATCATCTCATATTATTGTCCATCCTTCCAGAATGGCTAAAAGTGGAAAATTTGATTGTACTGTAATGTCTTTGAGTGTTCTTTTAGATTATAGACCAGAAGATACAAAGGTATTTTTCTTATCATATTCCAAACTTAAATCGTATACAATTAATCTGTATTTTATTTTTCTTTTATAGGAACATTCCTTTGAGGTATCATTATTTGCAGAACTTTTTAATGAAATGTTAATGCGAGATTTTGGTTTTCGAATTTATCGATCATTATGTAGTCTTCCTGAAAAACCGAAAGAAAAAGATGAAGATAAAAAAAAGGATAAAAAAGATGAGAAAAGAGATGAAAAAAAAGATGATAAAAGAAAAGATGATGACAAAAGATGTAAGAAAGACGAGAGAAAAGATGATAAAAGAAGAGAAGGAAGTAAAGATAAAAAAGATGAAAAAGATGCAAAAAACAAAGTAGATGATAGAGATCGAGAGAAAGAAAAAAATGATGATGACGATGATGATGAAGAAGATGAATCTGATGTAATTATCTTTTTACACGTATTTTATTGTATATATACATGTATCTAAGTTTTCCTTTAAAATTTATTATAATAATATTTATAAATTATCTTTCATAGGATGATGATTCAATTAAAGACGGTAGAAGAGATAGAGAAAAAGATGGAAGAAAAAGGAAAATAAAATTGTATACACATGATCCTTACCTCTTATTATCTTTCGTTTATTTCGATCAAACTCATTGTGGCTATATATTTGATAAAGATATAGAAGAACTTATTTATACTTTAGGATTGAAATTATCAAGAGCACAAGTTCGTAAATTAGTACAAAAGGTTGTAACAAGAGATTCTTTGCATTATCGTAAATTAACGGATAGATCGAAGGAAGATGATTTGAAGGACGAAAAAAAAGATGAGAAGGAAATTGATAAAATTGATTCTACTAAAATAGAAAATGAAGAAGAAATATTACGTTCATTAGCACTTGGTATATTATAAATATCTAATAAATATCATATTTTAATTTACAATTTTTATTAACATTTCATTATTTTTTATTTCAGGAAATAAAAAATTGTTACCTGTGTTCGTTGGAAGTGGACCACCATCAAAAAGAGTTCATAGAGAAGATGCAATTATAGAACAATCTGATGAATCAATTGTATCAGAAGGATTTGTTATATATAAAGGTTCTTTATTAGATGTAGAAAAACTTGTTAGTCAATTAAAAAGATCAGAAAAAGCTCGATTGGATACGGAAGAGCGTCTGATGGAATTACAGCATGAATTATGTATAGTAAATGAAAAATCAACAAAACAAACAAATAACATCAAAGCTCTTTCCGAAGATTTAAAAGTATACAAAGATAAATTAAGAAACACGGATGAAAAGCTCAAAAAAGTATCGGTAAGTATCATGTTTTTTTAATCCTTTTCTTTTTTTTTTCTTTTTTTTTTTTTTTTTTTTTTTTTTTTTTTTTTAAATAATCAAAAAATATACTTAAATTATTGTTTTTTTTTCTGCGTAGTCTGAATGCCATACATACCTTACAGCAGTAAAAAATATGTATCATATAGCAGCAAAAATGATGCAGTCTGATACAAAAAAAGTAGAAGTTGTAGAAATACAAGATGAAAAAGTTAGTGAAGTTAATGGATCAGAAATCGAAACAAAATTTAAAATGGATAGTAGGTGGGGTGATAACAAAGTTCCAATAAAAAAAGAATTCACAGAAATGGATAAAGATAAAAAATGTGACAATAAAGTCTCAATTAAAAAAGAAATAATAGAAACTGATAAAGAAAAGAAATAAAAAAAAAATATTCTTTATTTCTTGTAAAAGATGTGAACGCACTTTTATTAAATTATATAAGTAAAAAGGAAATTAAAAATGTGCTTAGTGATAAAACAGCAACAGGGAAGTGAATGGGATAAATTTTCCCATATGAAAGTAAAAATGACTTTAAAGACTTGGTTTTATAACTTTTTTCACTCAGTGACAATATATAGTAAACCTGTTTCTGTGCATATTACGTTAGAAATAAGGAAGATCACGCGTTCAAATAGTATAAATAAGTAATTGAATACAGAAGAATTAGAACAAATTCTTACACTGCAATTTTTAATATAAATTTGTCAAATTTAATGCAGATAGACAAAATTCTTAAGGAACTTTGATTTGCCATAAAGTGCCAGATACTGATAAACAGCTATATATCGTGATTTCAAAATAAGTTCATATAAATGAGTTCATATAAATGAATATAAATTATCATCATATAATCATTAATATATCTTTAAATTTTTGTCATATTTTTGGATAAATTTAAACAAGTGTTGACTAAATTTAGAAATTTTTTTTTCTTTCATTTTTTTCATAATGGACTGTGATTTATTCAGGATATTTCATTATAATATAATCATTTTTTTTTTTTTTTTTATTTTTTTCATAATGGTCTTTGATTTTTTTAGGATATTTTATTTAAATATAATCTTTTTTTTTTTTTTTTTATTTTTTTCATAATGGTCTTTGATTTTTTTAGGATATTTTATTTAAATATAATCTTTTTTTTTTTTTTTTTATTTTTTTCATAATGGTCTTTGATTTTTTTAGGATATTTTATTTAAATATAATCTTTTTTTTTTTTTTTTTATGAATACGTTTAAGATAAATGTTAGCATTGTTGCTTTCATGGATTATAATGTCGAGCTTATCGTTATATAATCCTATATAAATATTATTTTTCACTTTTCTTTTTAAAGCAACAATTAACATTTTTAACACTAGCAATGTATTTGTATTATGTTGTAAGTGTATTTATTGCTTTGTACACAGAAGACAGTATGAAAAAATAAAACTTTTACGCAATATGTATAACACCAATTGTAAAGTACACAGTAATAATTAATTTATGGGATATCGTTAGCATTATTTTTCTCAAAATGACGCGTACAAAATGAAATTTTTTCTATTTTATATTTTCTATAATTGCTGTAAATATTTTCATGGAAACGGTACCTAAGAATAATTTGAACACCAAAGTATCTATAGACAATTTAGTATCAAATGAATATATTGTTATACATATACATATATATAAAGTACAATAATTTATTTAAAAAAGATTTATAAAAAATAGGATTATAATTTTTTTTATATACATCTACAATTTTTGTTATTATTATTTCTTTTAATAATTTAATAATTTTTATCAAAATTCATATACAAATTTCTAAATTAATTATAATTCAATATGGTAGAAAGATGAGTGCTCATGATGTCCCTCATTTTTAACATATATTGCTCATACACAGATATGACTTGAATATGTATAGAAAAAAATAAAAATACATAGAAATGTGATTTTTGAACACTAGTTATCTTGTGTTCCATTAAGAAACACAATGCCAAGGACACTATTTTGTATAAAAAATCTATTATAGAAAAATCTTTTTGTAGTTTAATATTAGAAAATTGCATTCATGTCAAGAGACCTTTAATATGTTAAGAATAAATTTATAAGTATGGAATGATATATGAGCTATATGTGAAACAAAAATTATAAACATTGTAATATTATATCCTTGGCAAGAGATACTTTTAAATATGAGAAGGTTCACAAACAAAATAAATTTTAAACACTCTATGTGATTTTTGTTTATACCTTTGTCTATTATTTTATTATAAATGAATTTTTATTTATAATTCTATTTTAATTTAATCAATTAAAATAATCAACTAACTAAGAAAAGACAATATTTTTTCACATTTTTAATAAGATGTTTTTTAATACTATAAATAAATATTTGTTTTAGTTTTTTTATTATTATATTTTTATTTTAATTTTCTCTTATTTATTTTCATTATACTTCATTTTATTATAATCACTTATTAAAAATTGAAAGAAAAATTGCATCTGTACTTTTATTTTTTATATATTTAATAAATGAATGAATGAAATGAAAATATGTATTTTTTTATATTTCTTCCTGAATCCAATAAATTTATGGAATAATTTTCGCCGATAAGTTAGGTAATGATTGAAAAATTTGATCAGCACCATCTCGCGTTTGGATCTCTGAACTTTCGATTTGTTATTAGCATAGCAGAATATGCAAGAAGGTATTCGAAGTCATAGACAAGGAAAGCAATATTGTGCAAAAAGGACAGAGAGCATTTTCCACCATTTCAAAAATGCTACATAGAAAATTTATTAATTATTCATTTATTATTCAAAATTTCGTCACTTTTAAGCTTACATTTGGAAGTTAAAATCTCAAACAAGTTTCTCCTATCAATTTTAATATGAAATTCTTCTCAATTAATTATTTATTAATAAGTAATGTATTACGAAGAATTGACGCCATTGATACGCAATTTTTCAATAATATAGAATTTATTTTTAAATATAATTGTATGCATTAAAAACGTTGTTTTCTCCACTATTTTTATATATAAATTTTATTTATAAGTTTTTTATTATTTAAATGAATAAAATAATTGTTTACCAATCGATTATATTATAGAAATTTATAACTGAGGCATTCTTTATAATAATTGTTAATAAAGAATTAAAAAATAAGAATTTCAAGTAGAAAGTAATATTAGAAAGCTGTTTAAAAGTATAACTTCAAGATATAAATTTAAAAATGCCGAAATTTTCAGTAAAAAATGAGTAATTAATTAATTTTCAATACGGCGTCTTCGATCTATTAGATATTATGATGTGTCAATTATTAATAACTAATTAATGAAAAGAAATTTTATATTAAAATTAATATGAGAAATTTCTCTACAGTTTTAGCTTCAAGATGCGAGCTTAAAAGTGCTGAAATTTTCAGTAAAAAACGAATAATTAATTAATTTTCAATAGAGCGTCTTCAATATATTAGATATTATGATGCATTAATTATTAATAATTAATTAATGAAAAGAAATTTCATACTAAAATTATTATGAGAAGCTTCTCTATAATTTTAACTTCAAGATGTGAGCTTAAAAGTACTGAAATTTTCAGTAGAAAATGAATAATTAATTAATTTTCAATATGGCGATACATTAATAACTATGATGCGTTAATTATTAATAAACAATTAATTGAAAAAAATTTCATATTAATATTAATATGAGAAATTTGCTTGAAGGTTTAGCTTCAAGATAAGAACTCAAAAGTGTTAGAATTTTAAGTAAAAAATGAATAATTAATTAATTTTCTATTAGCAATGTTTTCAAAATGGTGGGAAATGCTTTCTATCTTTCTCGCACAATATTGTTTTCCTTGTTTATGACTTTGAATACCTCCTTACATTTCTGCTATATTAGTAACAAGTCGGAGCTTCAGTGATCCAAACGCGAGATGGCGCTGATCAAAATTTTTCAATCATTACCTAACTTATCGGCGAAATGTAAGTACATTTAGAAGTTTGTAATATAAAAAAAAAATTCGGCAAATATTTCATAAAATGATATAAATATTTGTTTGAAAAAATGTTTAAATGGAATTTGTATGCAAATATACTGAAATAAGAAATTCGCAAAATTATTAGAAAAATTATAGAAAAGGAATTTATTGAAAAAAAAGGTGAAATGAAGAAGACAAAAAAATATAAAAATATAAAAATATATTGTAAAATATAAAAATACAAAATAATATATATAAAATATATTATAAAATATAAAAATATAAAATATGCAATATATAAAATATACATAAAAGTACAAAAATATAATATAGAAAAACTAATTGATACATAAAATATATTATTGTTAATAAGCAAAAAAAATAATAGAATTTGTTAAATATCAAAATTATTATTTGAATGTATAAATTTTCCTGAAGACAAAAAAATGCATTGAACATTAAATCTATTTTGTATCTTGTCCTCAAGAAATAAATTTTTGTGCTGAGATAGATAGGATAACAAATAACAAATAACATATTTAATTTCATAAACATAATTTCGTTTATTATCTTACTATATTTAGAATCACAATGAAAATACATTTATACATATAATGTACAAATTAAAATGAAATTTATCTATCAGATCATAAATTATTGGTATTTCTATTTAATTACAAGTGAAAGCTTTTATTTATGTAAGTATATTTGTAAATATTAAATAAGATTAAAATGCTACTTACATTTGTGCTTGGCATATGTTTAATATTAAACATTCAAAGATATTTATAGCTAAATTTTACACTTCTAAGTACTAAATACTACCGCATTTAAGGAACAGCAGCATTTATGACTTATTTTCTCATTATTTATTGTTTAAAGAAATTTATATTATGAAATAATATATTATAATCTAATTATATTCAATTTATTACATATAAAAAAATGTAATTTTATAAATTTTAATATCTGTAAAATTGCAATTACATTAAATTAAAAAAAAAATTGAAATTGATTTAATATTGCAAACTAATTACTAAAAAGCAAATTTCATTTATGAACAAAATTATTCTTTATAAATTAATTGATAATAATATTATTTTTTTATTCTATAATTAGAAAATATATTGTAAGTTATTAAATTTTTAGTTTAATTACACAAAGGTATTTCCTATTGAAAAATTTTGCAAATATAATATTTGTTTGTTTATTATTTTATTATCAGCTTAAATTAATTAATAATTTATTTCTTTTTTAAATATATCACATTTTATAAAATATTTTAGGAATATTTCCAAATATAAAATGCACGATTGATGTATTGAAAATATTTTATGCAATAATATAAAATAAAAGAAATATCATATTGAATATAATTATAAATTGAATATAATTATGATAATATTAAACTAAAAAGGTGATAAAAAAATGTTTTTTTTATTATTAAATTATAAAAAATATCAATTTTCACCTTTTAAAATGAAGACAATCAAAAATCAGATTTAATTGTTTCAAAAATAATATTATTTTATAATCAGTCTATCCCTTTAAAAATATTTTTTTTAATATTTTTTCTTGGAATATATTTTTATACATATTTGCTTGTTTTCATTATAAAGGTGAGATATATTAAATTCAATATTGTTTGCATATAAAAAATTGTTTTATGCTCTTAATTATTTTTTATTATTATACCATTTTACAAATTAAAGTATGAATAAAAAAAATATACAATGTATTTGAAATATTTAGTATCCCCTGATATCAATTAAATAATATTCTCTGCTTCATATAAAATAATAAATTATATTATTACAATACTAATTAATATGACACAAAATATATGAAACTTTTATGTACCAATCATTTACAGCTATATATTTATTGTCTTGTTTAATTTATTTATGTAGCTGTAT